CACAAGTCATGAAGGGGCCATAGTTCCCCCATGCTGGCTGGGGAATTCTGGGAGTTGAAGTCCACAAGTCTCAAAGTTGTCAAGTTTGGGGACCCCTGATCTACAGGTACCACCACACTTGGGACCAGAACTTCAGCCGCTAAGCAAAACAGTTCTTAATTAAGGGGTGCCCAATTTTAGGACCTTTTTTTGCTGTGGTCATTAAGCGAATCACCATGGTCCTTAAGTGAATCTCATGGTTGTTAAATGAAGCCGGCTTCTCCCATTGACTCATCGTAAATATGAGTCAGTTGCCAAGCATCCGAATTTTGATCACATGACCATGAGGATGCTGCAACGGTCGTAAGTATGAAAAACGGCCATCAGTCACTTTTTTCAGTGCCATTGTAACTTCGAACAATCACCAAATGAAGTGTTGGAAGTCGAGGATTTCCTGTAAATAGGGCAAAGACGACACTGCACAGTTGTCTGAGGACCACGGGCACAGTCCTAAAATTTTGGATGAATAAATCGAATACTTGTTGATTTTAAAAAGTTTGGCTCTTGCTACTCTGCATTAACAAGAGTGGCACAAGATGGATAACATTGTTTATTTATTTATTTGTTTGTTTATTTGTTTATTTATTTATCGTATGGCACTTTCACATCATGTATCAGTCAAAAGGAACACAGGGGTAAAATACAAAACACAGAATATAAAATCTGAAATCTTAACAGGAAGATTACCAACATTATATCTAAGTTACAAATATAATTTTTTAGTTCATTTGTCGCTGCCAGGAAAGCAGCGAAATTATTATAGGCTCTGTTTTGGCACACTGTTACTATGGGTTGATAATATTGCACTGTTAATGGTCCATTCCTAAATTCTGACTTTTTGTTCTTTCTTCCCTTGACAGATTACAGTTTCTGGCGGTGGGCTCCCCCCGGTCAGTACCCTCACCAACATCCACAGCTTTTCCCATCACACCCCACAACAATCCCAGAATCTCATTATGACGCCTTTGTCAGGAGTCATGGCTATCACGCAAAGTAAGTGCTTTATGAGTTAGACAAACATCTTCTTGTTCTTAGAATTATTCCTGATTACCTCTTTCCTTGTATAGCACCATCAGGAAGCGAGGAGCTTTACACAGAGTCCAAAAGGGCAGAATCCCGTCGGAGAGACTTTGCAGAATATTTAATATCTCTTCCTTTCTTCTTTTTTGCAATTGTCAGTGCCTATTGTAGCATGGCACTGACTTCCATTGGTGCTGGCCTCCAATTGCTCAGTAAATATTAAGAGAGAGAGAGAAATATTGATTTTGGTGCACTGTGAAAAAAGAGGAAAAATGAGATTAAAAAAATGAATCAGTGATGAGATCCAAAGAGGCTTTGTGAAGAGAAAGAAAGAAAGAAAGAAAGAAAGAAAGAAAGAAAGAAGGAAAGAAAGAAAGAAAGAAAGAAAGAAAGAAAGAAAGAAAGAGGGAGGGAGGGAGGGAGGGAGGGAGGGAGGGAGGGAAGGAAGGAAGGAAGGAAGGGGGAGAGAAAGAAAGAAAGAAAGAAAGAGAAAGAAAGAGAGAGAGAGAGAGAGAGAGAGAGAGAGAGAAAGAAAGAAAGAAAGAAAGAGAAAGAGAAAGAAAGAGAGAGAGAAAGAAAGAAAGAAAGAAAGAAAGGAGGGAAGGAAGAGAGAGAGAAAGAAAGAAAGAAAGAAAAAGAAAGAAAGAAAGAAAGAAAGAAAGAGAGGGAGGAGGGAGGGAGGGAGAGAGAAAAGGAAGGAAGGAAGGAAGGGAGAGAGAGAGAAAGAAAGAAAGAAAGAAAGAAAGAAAGAAAGAAAGAAAGAAAGAAAGAAAGAAAGAAAGAAAGAAAGAAAGAAAGAAAGACAATACTTTTTGTGCCTCGACCTAAAAGGACTTGAGGGTTGATGATCTCTACAAGGGAAGGGTCAAAAAAGTCAAAATGGTGGCCTATGTCTCTGGGATTAAAGCCCTATCCCTTTTTTTTACATTGCAAAAAGTGGCAGAGCTTCTGTAATGTCATTCCAATAATAGTAATTTTAAAAGTAGTCCCAAAGGTGCTTTAGGTCTTCCTTTGTTTTTTCCTGAAGATGTTTCGATTCTCATCCAAGAAGTTTCTTCAGTTCTGATTGAATGGTGGGGAATAGAAGGATTTATTCCCCATCATTCAATCTAAACTGAAGAAGCTTCTTCAAGGAAAAAACAAAGAAGGCCCAGTTGCCTTTTGAAAAGCACTATTGGGACAATCATGACACGGATGACTGAGAATCTCCATAGACATTTAAAAGTGGTAGCAACCCCTAACTAACCTTGGTTGATACTGGAAGTTAAATGAAGAAGAACCTGATTAGTTAGATGGTGAAGAATACTAGCCTTATTTTAAACTATGCTTGGAAAATCAAGCTCTTGCTCCAGATTCTGGAGTTGTGGGGATGTGAGATCCTCTGTCAGGTGCTTTATGGATTTTAGTGGACATTTGTTCCACCAAATTAACCCACTCCCTTTTCTGTTTGGTGCTTTTTTACCCTTCTTTTTCTTTTTGTACAGGTGGTCCTCGACTTACAACCATTTGCTTAGTGACCATTTGAAGTTACCACAGCATTGAAAAAAAGTGACTTATGACTGTTTTTCACACTTACAACCACTGCAGCAACCCTGCAGTCATGTGATCAAAATTCGGGCACTTGGACTGCCATCTGTCAGAAATGGTGTAGGGTCTCCTGCTTGGGCGGGGGGTTGGATTAGATGATCTACCAGGTCCCTTCCAACTCTTGTTATTTCTATTCTATTCTATTCTATTCTATTCTATTCTATTCTATTCGATTCGATTCGATTCGATTCGATTCGATTCGATTCGATTCGATTCCACTCCACTCCACTCCACTCCACTCCACTCCATTCCATATTTTATTGTTCTGTTCTGTTCCACTCCACTCCACTCTACTCCACTCCACTCCACTCCATTCCACTCCATATTTTATTGTTCTGTTCTGTTCTGTTCCGTTCTATTCTATGTTTAAGAAAGTTGCGCTGTCCTTGGGTCATGTGGTCACCCTTTGTAAACTTCTCAGCTGGCTTCTGACAAGCAAAGACAAGGGGGGGGAGGAAAGCCAGATTTGCTTAACAGCTACACAATTCACTAAACAGCTGCAGTGTTTTTTTTTTACTGGGGCAAAAAGAATTTTAAAATTGGGCAAAACGTACTTAACAATTGCCTTGTTTAACGACAGAAATTTTTGGGCTCAATTGTGGTTGAAAGTGGAGAACTATCTGCTCTTCAGTCATTGATGAGTTGGGTGGCCTTAGAAATAAATAAATCCCTACTATGGTATTACTACCAGTTTCAGAAAGGCAGCATGCATGTCAAGCTTGACTTAAAGGTGTCTCTTCCATTTATTTTTTAAGTAGAAATAGGGGTGTCCTGCCATTTTTTAGGATAGGTTGTCCTCGGTTAGTGACCACAATTGGGATCAGCAATTCTGTTGCTAAACAACACAGTCATTAACCAAGATGTCATGGGCTTATGACCTCCCTTTCACCACAGTTGTTAAGTGAATCCCTCATGACTGTTAAGCAAAACACGAAATGACTAAGTTGCAACTTCCTGTTGACTTCCCCACTGACTTTACCTGTCAGAAGCCAGTTGTGAAGGTCACAAACCACGATCCTATGACCATGGGGTTGTTGCGATGGTTGTAAATGTGAGGACAGTTAATTTTTCAATGCTGTCATAACTTCAAAGAGGACTCTTGGTTAAAACTGTCATACCATGGTTCAAATCCAATGCGGGAGAGATTGTCTTTTAATTATCTTTAGCCAGAAGCAACCCAACATCTTTAACAAAAAGACAAACAAAAAGACAGTCACACTCCGATTAAAAAGAAATCATGCCCTGGAAAATCAGGTTCGAGACTATGGAAAGAGTTGAGAATTTTCATCTTGGAAATTATAGAGAGGTTGTGGGTATTACAGGGGAAATCTGAAGACCTTGGAGCTTTGTAATCAAACGCCTCAGATTATCTCTCTCTCTTTCAGGCCTAAACAGTTCGCAGGCCCAGAGCGTCCCCGTTATCAACAGTGTAGCCCTACAACCGGTCCAGTTCTCCCAACAGCTGCACAGCCCACACCAGCAGTCAATCATGCAACAGTCAACCAATCCGATGGCTCAACAGCCGTTCATGGCGGCGGTGACACAGCTGCAGAATTCACACAGTAAGGATCTTTTGGGGTATTGACTGAGATAGAAGGACAGAAACTGGGAGAAGTGACAGTAACAGAGGCCATAAGTACAGCAAGATATTTGCCCCTGTCTCAATCAGGATATAACCACAACTGTACAATCCAAACCCCATCTGTTTTCCTCATGGACCTGTAGTCCTTTTTCTCATGCACAGGCAGTGTTGGTTTAATTGCTTTTTCAAACATCTATTTATGAGAAAAAGACTGCTTGTAAGCTAAGAGCATTTTGGACCAGCATTTTGCAACATTTAGTTCCTCATAATTTCTCCTTTATCAGGAGAAATTTTTTTTTGTTTCAGTTAGCAAAGTATTCTTGAATACTTTAGTTATACTTGATGTCTTAAACTGTAAGTTAAATTGTAGCAGTGGGGCAAGAATATGGGGAGATAAACACGGCAGGAAATGGCAGGTTTTTTCAACCTAGATTGTATGTCTGAATACAACCAACTGTATTTTTTTGAGATGGGGAAGGGAGTTGTAGTCCAAAATAGCTGTACAGGAAGGGTTTGATGAAGGCTAGATCAGAGTAGTGCACTTAAACCAAGGGGACTCAGATTCCAGGCCTAGAAAGAGTGCAGAGAAGAGCAACAAAGATGATTAGGGGACTGGAGGCTAAAGCATATAAGGAACGGTTGATGGAATTGGGTATGTCTAGTTTAATGAAGAGACGGACGAGGGGGGACAGGATAGCAGTGTTCCAATATCTCAGGGGCTGCCACAAAGAAGAGGGAGTCAAGCTATTTTCCAAGGCGTCTGAAGGCAGGACAAGAAGCAATGGATGAATACTAATCAAGGAGAGAAGCAACCTAGAACTAAGGAGAAACTTCCTGACAGTTAGAACAATTAAA